CCGGTCCGCGGACCGGGGGTTGGGGACCACTGCTGTAGAAAGTGTATCGGTGACAAAAGGCTTTCGTGCATCCCTTCCACAGTCATCAAGCATAATTCATATTAACTCAACTATTTTAACTCAGATATTTATACATGTTACCCTTATACCTCCATTTTTATTGGACTATAATTATTTAAACGTCCATCATAAAATATACCAAGATTTAATACATAACCACATACTGGCATTTCATTTACTATTTCTAAAATCCTCCAATAACACTGAATCCTTATGTCCTATTCTAACTAAACATTCATAATATTTAATAACAAACTTTTCTAATACTCCTTTCCAAATCACTGTTTGCAATTTTCATCCAGTTTCTTTATATTGTACCCATACCTATATATAGGTTGTCATCATTATCCCTCCTTTATTTGACTATATCTTGTATCATAACATTTCCCCCCCCTAATAATCAAGACTTAACTGAATCGAACTTAGTTCTTTTTTATTAACCTTTATATGTAATCCAAAAGGATTTCTAATCTTTCTTTCCTAACAAACATTATTCTATTTAGCCATAAAAATGTATCTTTCTATTCTTTGAAAAATAGCCTGATGAAAGCTAGCTCTTCATGCATCTGTGCTTTCCATAAAACTTCCACTATGAATTTAATCATGCATTTCTTCTTGCATTCCCTTTATATTAATGTATTCCAAAGGCTGGGAAACCATTAAGATTCTCACTTAACGTCTCAGAATCCTATGAGACAGCATTACAGGGGTAGTCCTCGACATGCCACTGTAATGGAGCCTGTTGATTATGGCCATGCATCGTAACAATACTAAAGAGGGTTTTTGCTATAGTTTGCTATGGGTATTGGTTTGCCAAAAACCGGAAGTGCTGGTTTTCAGCAAAGCCATCATAAACTGTGGTCACGTGACTACAGGATGTTGCAAACAGCTGAATGTGCAGCCATATTGCAAGTGCCCAAAGTTCAATCATGTGACCTTCCAAGTGGTCCTGACCATCAGAACGTCAAATCTAGGTCACAAGTCCGCCTTTTTGTCTCAACAGTCGCTAAGCATCTGTTCTGACCCAGCTCCCCAAACATGATAAACCCTCTGACGTGAATTCAAAAGACTCCTTTACTAGGAATGCCGGCAGCCCCAGCAAAAAGTTTATCTTGCAGGCTAAGAAGTCCATCCAGCTAGAAGATCAATAGTTCCCTGCCTCACCTAATCATCTCCGCCCCCTGCCTTTTAACCCCCAGAGGTAGGGTGGGGCTTTGCTAGCAGCTGTGGCTCTTCCTTCCCCAGGATCGGCCCATGGATTTCCACTGCTCTCCTCTCCTCTCCCTTCTGCGCAGCCGTGTGTCAGGCACTGGACCCAGCTGTTCCTCCTCTTCTTCATCAACCACCTCCAGACCTGGGGGCTGTTGACTCTTCATCTGAGTGCTGACAGATGGCCCAGGCTCTGCCTCTGTCTCTCTCTCTGTCAGCTCCATTCCCTCTTCCCCCCTCGGAGCTCCCGGATTATCCTGATGCTGACCCTGACTCCCACGCCTTCTCCTCTGATTCGGCTGCTGGGAGGGGCCGGCGCCTGACAGGCCACAACAGCATCCTGCTATCCAAGTAGTTGCAAATGAGGAGGTTGTAAACAAATAATCGTTGTTGAAATGTGTTGAAATGTTAGCAGATAGCTCGGGTTGGTAGTGAGGCTGTTGGTTTGAGCTCTGCGCTTGGCAATTTGGTTGTGAACGTTTTGTCACCATTCAAGGAGACGTTGTCTGTGCGTTTTGAGTTGTGTCTCAAACTCAAAAAGCACTGATGATGTCCCCTCGAACAGTGACGGAATGTTTGCAACCAAATTGCCAAGCTCGGAACTCAAACCAACAGCCTAATAATTGTTGCCTAATGTTTCCTACTGCAAGTCATTTCACAATTCTGTAAATGAAGGGGATGTAGATACAAAGATATACTGTAGTGTTTGCACAGAGGAGGTTCATTAGGGGGAAGGTTCATTAAGGGGAATTCTGACCATATTTCCTGCTTAGATCTCTGCAGCTTTCTTGTAAAAACCAGCCCAGAAATTAAGTTTACACTTAATTTCAAAACATCAAGCCATATTAGATTTGCACAGTGGCGGGATAGCCTAGAGGTGGAGTTCTTGCCTCACAATCAGGAGGCTGTGAGTTTAATCCAAGGTAGAGGGAGATATTTCTCTCTCTGGGCACAATTATATCTGCTGAACAAAGCTCTGCATTGGCAACAGGAAGGGCATCCAGCCAGTAAACACTCAGTTCCATTTAGTTGACTCCACCCAAGGGATTACGGGGTTGTTAAAAGAGGATGATAATGAAGCCATACTAGGTTTGCAAAGTGAGGATTCTGTATTTGATGGGAAAGGATTTACAGCCCTGGCAATTGTAAGACGCATGGGTTTCAGCTCTATGGCTGGCTGGGGAATTCTGGGAGTTGAAGTCCATACATCTTAAAGTTGCCAAGGTTGGAAAACCCTGCATTAAAAGAAAGCCTATTTTGCAGACATGACATCCCACATTAAACATAGTGTCTGAGTAACTGAACTAGAAATAATGTAATAGTTTAAACAGAGAAAAAGGATGGATTCAACCAGCCTCTGGTGACACTCAAGGTTACAAAAACCGAGACGCTAAAGATACCAACTGAAACTTGAAAAAGCAGTTGAAATATGTCATATAATTAGAAAAGGTGTTGCAAAAATAACTAAATGGTCCTCTAAAAACTAAAGTTGGCGCGAGAGGATATTTTAGGGTATACCTTAAACATTTCAAGTAAAGTTTCCTTCTTAATTTCCAGTCGCTCAAAAAGTTGTTTCTCTTTCATTATTTTCTTGCACAAGACTTCAATGGCAGGGAAGTCATTGCTAGACACGCCCCTGAAATAAACAAAGATGTATCAATATCAGTTGTACTTATTGTTCTCTGACTTATTTTTTTTGCTTCTTAAACAGTCATTACTAAAAGCAAATTGCAGATCAAGAGGGATTTCCCTGAACTCAAGGGGAAAGTAGAAAGAAATTAAATATTTTTAGTTTGAAAACCTCCACCAACAAAGCAACAGCGTATATTTTATTTTAAACCTTTTACAGGCAGCATCTGATGAAAAACCAGAAACAATAAACTTCGCAGATAAAAGATTTATAGCCATTTAGTAGGAACTGAAACCCTTCTTAAATGCCCCACGCAGAAAAACTGAGCCAAAGTCATCAAAAAGATGCAGAAATAAACCCACAGCAGTTCAAGGAATCCCCTTATAAGGAAGGCACAGAAAATTTCTCAGTTGCTAAGTTTTTGTAAAGATTTGCATAGGTCAGGGGTGTCAAACTCAATTTCATTGAGGGCTGAATCTGGGCGGTGGTTGACCTCGGGGAGGCTGGGCGGGCATGGCTGACTGGATGAGTGTAGCCAACTGGGTGGGTGTGGCTAACTTGATGCCGCTCACTGGGCGTGGCCGACTGGCTGGGTGTGACCAGCTGGATGCCATTCCCCAAACTGCTGGCATGTTTCCTCTTTGCACTGGGTAGACCAGGCCGAAGTGACATGGGCCAGCCCCTTATATTTTCCAGGATAGCCTGTGGACCTTGTGTTTGACACTCCTGGCATAGGGGAGTCTGAAGAACTCACGTTGGAAGCCTATATAGGTAGCCCTTGACTTACAATCATTTACTTAGTGACCACTTGGAGTTACAACAGTGCTGAAAAATTACTTACAACTGCTCCTCTCACTTACTACCAACATGGTGTCCCTGCTGTCATGTGATTGTAATTCGGGAGCTTGGCAACTGTCACACCCATTATCAATAGTTGCAAAGACCTGTAGTCATGTGATCATCACATGGCACATTCTCAGATGGCTTCTAACAAGCAAAGTCAAGGGGGAAACTGGCAGGGAAAGTCACCAGTCTTAGTCATGTGACATCTCAATGAAAAGCCACATTGCTTAACAATATGTTCTATTTAGAGGTGGGCTGCTGCCGGTTTGGACCGGTTCAGGCAAACCAGTAGTTCCGCCCATCAGCTGGGCCCACCCACCTGCCCCGGCTATATCCTGTCCTAAGTTAGGTTTCCGAAAGATGCCCTAATTTAGCAGTTCTCAACCTGTGGGTCAGGACCCCTTTGGGGGTTGAACAACCCTTTCACAGGGGTCACCTAAGACCACCGGAAAACACATATTTAAAAAAAAAAAATGGTAAACATAAAATAATTTTATGGCTGGGGGTCAGCACAACATAAGGAATTGTATTAAAGGTTCGCGGCATTAGAAAGATTGAGACCCACTGCCCTAATTAATTCATGAGCCTCGAGCTAAGTTTCAAAAGAAATCAAGTCATTTCTTAGGAACACCATTTAGGCAATACCCTCTTGCTATCAGATCTGACCTCATTTTAATTATGGCTGAACTTTGCCCATTTCTTCCCTCCCCTCAGTCTGTGTCATAAATCACATTCTCCAACTAGGTGCACGCCCCACAAGCCTGCTGTAGTAATCTGAGATCCGACTCTAGCCAAAGTTATGCGTGGAATGCGCTCCCCCCCTTTCCTCACCATGGCAACTTTATAAGTTGACATCCTATATATCTCACTCTCTGACACACTCGGCCCACACAGACCAGCTGATTTCCACATCTCACCCACTCTACTCACTGCGGCTGCCCCAGAAAGTGTGCTGGAAGCTGCGTGCATGAAATTGCCATGTTTTCGAAGCCGCACTCTCACATTTTTGGTTCTGCACTAGGCGAACTGGTTGTTAAATTATGTGAAGCTCACCTCTGATTCTATTTCCTCTTGTAGTCATAAATCAAGGACTCCTGTCATTACATCCTAATCTCATTCGTCCAGGAAAATGGGATTTAATCTTTTTCTCCTCATGTAGACACACAGACATACAAACACACGTACACAAACATATACACACAGAAAGCTTACCCATCTTCAAGGAACATATCATAGTAAAATCCATTCTCTATTGGTGGACCATAACATAAGCAACCACCGTATAATCTTTCCATGGCTTCGCCCATTATGTGAGCACTAGAATGCCAGTACACCTAACAGGGGAGAAAAGGTAAAGAGAGCACATTAGACCTGTATTTGTAGACTCCAATTAATGCTATGCTGCCAAATTTGAGTCTGCCAACATAATTTCCTACCACCCTGAGACATTAATTATCAGACTATAGTATATTTAATGTTAATATTACATACATTTTAAAGTTTTATTGTGTTGCTTGGTTGTGAGCCACCTAAGGTTGCCTCGAGGTGAGATGGGAGGTATATAAACTTATTAAATAAATAAACAGTATAAATCAGTGTTTCTCATCTTTGGCAACGTTAAGATGTATAGGCTTCAAGTTCCAGAATTCCTCAGACAGCATGAGTTGGAGCTTGAAGTCCACATACCTTGAATTTGCCAAAGGTGAGAAACACTGATACGAACCTTAACACCGAATTAGCACAGTTTATTCTCATTGACAAAAAAACTACAAGAAAACTTGAAAACTCCAGGCCAATCATGCCCACCAAATGATAACCCTTCCTTGTTTAGACTTCAATAACCCCCAAAGTTCTCCTTCCTCTCTATTTGTATTACAAACATTGATATGTTCCTTATTTATTGTACAGTCTGCTTTCAATCAAGTTTGGGGTTGAACTTAATATATTAAAATTAATCTTTGGGGATGACCACACAAGTAGATGGCCATACAGAAGTACACCCTGGAAATCTCTGCATCCAAGCACAAACTAGGTGTTGTGGCCCCGCCTGTAGCCAGCGGAGATGGCAGCAGAGTCGGACAGTGAGGAGGTTGGGGAGGAACATGGGCCAGTCCTGGAGGCTGGGGAAGGCGAGGGCGAGGGCTCTGTATCGGAAGCAGAGATGGGGCCAGGGCCATCTGACAGTTCTCAGCTGCCTTCAGAACTAGACAGCAGTGAGGCAGAGGAACAGCTGGAGCCTGTTCCCAATGTGCGCATGCACAGAGCTGCCAGAAAAAAAAGAACAGCTAAGAAATCAGGGTCGACTTGGGAGTAAAGCCACGGGTGGATGGTGAATTGCCCCTCCCATAGGAAATAAAAGAGGAGCGAAAGGGGAGTGGGCTTTTGCAGGAAACCATTTGTTTGTTCATTTGTTCATTAGTTAGTTCATTTCAGGAGTGTGAAGATCTGTCCGTGAATCTCAGAGACTCTGTACCAAGACTTTCCTTGCATAGCACTGTGTTTGGAAAATATTTACATGGCAGATTTCTAAGCTAGAT